TCCACTTTAAGGGTTAGGGTTAGTGCTAGGGAATCATGGGAATTGATATATATTTTTTTTCTGAGACATTGAGCCTTCTCTGTCAGAGAGCTCTGGTGCCACAATAAAATGCAGTTCCCATGATTCCCTAACCCTAACCCTTAAAATGGACTCAATTTGCACAACTTCTAGCAGTCTGCAAAGTCCCTTAGTTGTCCAGGGGGGGAAGAAAAAGAAATATTCCCGCCTTTCTTTCCCCAAGTTTATCTCCAGTATTAGGAGGGGTATCTGTGTTAAACATGAACAGTTCTGGAGATCTTCCCACTTCCTCATCTTCAAGAAAATTCCAATTATTGTCCCCCACCCCCTGACCCTGCACAGGGAGGATTAGTCAGTTCTTGGACAAACCAAGGGAGACTTGTCTGGTATTAACACACATGCAATTCTTCCTCCCACCAAGTTTTGAGTTTCACTGCAAACATTTTACACGGTTTGATAAGAAATGACGTGAAACCTTTTACGGAGTTCTTAAAACACTACTCAAAATGTTCATCTGATATCCTTGCAAATTATCCAAACACTGCCAGTTTAGATTTTGATCTAATTACTTTGCTATTGTTTGAGGCCAATAAAGGTCAAATTGAGGGAACAGGCAGCTTTTATTAACACCCTTTTCTTCTTCGGCTTTCAGTACTGCAAAGTCTGCCACAAACATGTTATCAAGGTAATCCATGCTAGTGGCTTATCTCTTATTTTCTGGTAATAGTCAGAGTTTATCTTGGTGTCTTTGAGTTAACACACCTGATTCTTCAGAAAAGAGAGTAAAAGTGAATGCATTTGAAACCCAACACTTTGGATCCATGCCCATAGGAAACCCTTTCAAAACAGATTTGCACAACTAATGGGCTGCCAGGGCCAAATGCAGTTCACCAACAACTATGTATTGTGACCTGCCAAGGTCTGATGACTTGCCATACTTTCCGAGAGGCAGATGCATCTGAGTACAATTGGCTCCTAAAATTCTTGATATGTGTGCTCACAGAAAGATGATGTAGTGAAGAGCGTACTGAAAAGCACATTGAAAAACAGAAAACAGTGAGGAGAAAGATGCTGGAAACATTTTACCATTTATTTCCAGGACAAGGAGAAATTTTCCATTCATTTTTCATGAGTTGGGGCTTATAGTTAACAGTAGCAATGGCTTGCTTCTTACTTACTTATTATTGTTGCACCGGCACAAAGAAGACCAAACACCATTTGTGGGTAACAAATGGCCACAACTTTATTCATCTGTACAGGGTCTTATACAACGATTTGGCAGCCATAAAACTTAACATTATTTAACTTCCTTCTTGACACATGTGCATGTATGCATGCCATAATTCCTGATGTAATCCTCACCATAAATCATGTCAAGCCATCAGGGATAAGAAATGCCCTAAACCAGGAATATGTCAACAAGGGTCATACATAAGTTGTCAAACATGTAATAAAATCTTTCCCCCATGTAATCCTGACATCATCTTTATGATTGATGAGGTCAGAGATTTTAAGCTGTCAATGTAAACCAATCATCCATCGTAAATGACCAAATATTAACAAATCATTTATCCAATTATCTTGGGGGGTGGGAGGTCCCTGCCTTGCCACAGGAGGGGGCCAGCCTAGCTTGGCATTCCCTCCCCCCCATAGGGCTCCTTTGATGTGAGAAATGATGGAGTCCAAGTACACATCACAGCCCACTGAGAAGAGATGAACCCCATCACCCCTGTACAAATGTGGCAATTCAACCCTAATCTGATCATGCTCAACCCATGATGCCCCCACAGCTTCCAAGCTCCTCAAAACCCCCTGATTCACCCAGCGATGAGCCGTGTTAATGGCAGAGTCTTTCATTGCACTGGGCCAGGTTCGTCATGGCAAGAGCTTGGCCCAAAACAAAACAGTGCCTGGTAACCAGCGTCATACTCCATGGAGGTCCACGATGATCCTTTGGACTAACTGCAATCCCAGGGTTTTGACCAAATCATTCTCAACCAGGTGGATGAGGAGTATCTGAGGAGATGGGAAGGTATCAGCCAACTCAATGATTCAGGGAAGGAGGGCCCCCCATAGCATGCCTCTTCACCCGAACCAATGAATGTGCCCAAGTTGCTCCAGACCCAGGTTTGAATCTCGATCTGACTGGAGAGCATGTCGTTCAGCCCAAAAAACCAAGCTGTGACCTACAATCCAGAAGTCACCCTGATTTCCATCTGCTCAACAAAAAACCACAAATTAGAACCTCGAGGAACCATCGTTCGCCCCCCAAAAAAAAACTAGAAGTCAAAATCGAGCCAACCTAAGGGTGAATGTAAGTTTTAAATGATCCAGAGTGCCATCAACCGATACGTCAGATCACAGCATTGCCTAGGCCATGAGCTGCTGCAGCCATGGTCGCTCCGATCCAAAATGAATGAGAAGAAAATTGGGCTGCTGGTAAGCCCGCATGCTTCAAAGTCTCCCGCAACACCGCCCTAAATTGAAACTGCATCAAAGGAAGGCCTGAGACATGCAAAAACAAATAACCAGGGAATGCTGGGCTCAAACTGAGGTAATCAGTCAAAGACTTTATTGGGCAGATCTGGCCCCTAGGAGCCCGAGATAAGACTATGGTTTGACACCTGGCCAACTGGTCCATCTTGAGTGCCTAAAGTACAATTACAGGCCTTGCTTCAAAACTTGAACATCAGATAACAATAATGCCCGGCCTGAAATAACTGAGCGAGAACTAGGGATGAGCTTGCTAATTCTTGTTGCAGCAAAAAAGGCCAATGAAAAATCAGCCTGAAACAAGGTAACTTCCTCTGGCAAAGAGCACACCACTTGTAGGGAATGCCAAATCTGGATAAGGACTGAATCCATCACCAGCATGCGGGTATCGCGTGCCGGAGGGAGCTCCCTAGACCATCCCTCCAAAGCCCTCTGTACTCTAAAATCCACCATGGAATCCAAGACACACACACCCCACCTGGGAGTAAAAGGCCAGTGCCACCAATCTTCCCCTAATAGTAACTGAAGACAGTCTGGACTGTCTAAGGTGAACCACAAAGTGGAGTATGACTTCCACCCTCAGGGGCCACGCCTTGATTTCACCCACAGCCACAAGAAATTGACTAAAAGCTTGCATCACAAGCTGATAGGACTTCTGTGTAGAAGGGGCAACGGAGTGTAGAATAGCCCGCTCAATCTCTATCCTCCAAGGTTCCACAGATGAGCTGGTACTATCAAAGGCTGCACTGCTGCTTCCGGAGCTAGCTCTCAAAACCTGTGAAACTGAAAACGCAAAAGGGCATCTGCCAAGGGATTCAATAGGTCAGGAACATAGCACGTCTTAAACAGTGCATTGTATTTTAAACACTGCAACACCATGGATCTAACCAAAGCCTGACTTTGGGGACTTTGAGCTCTGGGAATTGATGACATGAACTACTGCCTGGTTGTCACACCAAAACCAAACAGTTTTCTGAGCAAATTGCCTTGGCCAAAAATAAACTGCCACCACAATAGGGAACAGTTTGAGAAAGGTAAGATTCCTTGTCAACCCGGTGCTCACCCAACCCTGAGGCCAACTCTCTGTCACCCATTTGCCCCTTCTAGATTGAAAGTCATGCAATGTGGCCTTATGCTTACCTATCATTGCCCTTA